TCGAGGGAAGACCCTGGGTGGACACCATTCCCTGCATGGTGTGGTGGGGACGGTCTGGAGCTGCCGGGGCAGGTGTCGGTGCCGCCACAGCCCAGCTAGCCAGGACAGCGCCTTCGAGAGCCACTTGCTCCTTCTTGCTGCTGCCAATTCTGCTCTGGCCGGAGCGCTGAGGGCATCGCCTAAGCCTGAGGCTGAGCCACAGTGTGGTATTTGGGGCTGAAACCCCAGGTTGCCCTGGGGCTAGGTGAGCCCAGGACTGGTGACTGCGCCGCCCAGCTCCTGCTGGGACCACGAGTGGGGTGTCTGGCATGGCTGTTTAGTGGGGCTATCTCATGAGGGTCTCCAGCAGGTCTGTTTGGGGAGGGTCTGCAGTGGGGCTACCCTGAGGGGCTTTCCAGCCATGCACTGGGCAGGTTGTCTCCAGTCGTCCCTCCCCACGGCTGCCGGTGTCCCCATGCATGTGGGGGGTACACCCCTGAATCCTCACCCCCACAGGTGAGGTGCACAGCCGTGCCCCTGCGTAGCCAAATTTGCCCTTCTGGGTGCCTGCTGCCCCGGAGAGAGGTGGGACGATGGCACTGCCTCTGCTTGGCTGGGAGGTGCTGGGGGAGAAATGCCATAGGTTTAAAAACAGGTTTGGGGTGCTAATTTTAGGAAGGCAGGTCAGGGGGAAGCCACGTCTGCCTGTGCTTGGGGGGAAGGGCAGGCCCTGCTCCCGCAGGGTCGGGCTGGCTCTGCTCCCAGCACCCGGGCTCCCAGCGCCGTCCCGGGGGAGGGTTCTCTGTGGAGGGGCAAAGGGAGGTGCGGGGGGGTCCCCGCTGTGTGTGCCTGCCGTCCCGGGGCCAGCCTCCCCGGCGAGGTGATGCTCAGGGACCCCCCCCAGGTTCGGGCTGTTGCCCCAGCTCTGCCCACACCCCCCAGAGCCCAGCAGCGGTCCTGGGGGCTGACCAAGGACCCCAAGGTAGGGGTCACCCCATCCCCAGTAACAGTCCAGGGGACTGACCGAGGACCCCAGGCTGGGGGTCACCCCGTGCCCAGCAGCGGTGCCAGGGGTGACTCCAGGGCTGGGGGCTGATGGCAGTGGGGGGACACAGCTGGTGCCCCTGCCTGCTTGCCCATGCTGCCTGTCCCTCTGGGAGGGCTCTGTTGCCAGCGAAGCTGCAGGGAACATGAGACCTCTGCGTGCCCGGCTCCGCTGAAACCCGAACAGCCACCTGGGCAGGCAGGCACAGGCAGGGGGGCCTTGCTGCCGGCCCCCCGGCACACACCGGCAGCAGTGGGGTACCTGGCTGTTAGCACGCAGGCCGGCAGCTGCGGCAGGCTTGGCGCTAAAGCCGGATTACCACCCGGAATAGTCCCGCGGCCCCAGCTGGGGCGGATTAGCCGGGATTCATCTGCAGAGGGAGAGGAGATGGGGAGGGGGTCTCTGCGCTGCTGGGGTCCCTGGCCTGGGGAAGCACCCAGCCGCTGCCAGGGAGACCCGGCGCCTGCGTCCCCCACGGGTGAGAGCAGTGGGTGCTCACGGGTGGGTGTCATGGGCTGCAGGGACATGGTGGGTCATCGCACCCCGGGCTGGTGCCACGTGGCACGGGCAGGGCTGGCAGGCAGCGGCTGCCATGTGTGCCGTACTCCCACCGGCATGGTGTGCTCTGGTGGGGACCGTGCCATGCCGAGGCTTGACTGGGGGAACCGGCACAGCAGAAGGGCCAGGTTTTCTCAGGGTGATACGCGTCCTCCTCGCCACGCTGTCGGGTGCGACGGACCCCCCCACCCGACGCATTCCGCTGGCATTGCCGACAGAGCTCCCCTGCCCCAGCCTGCCCGTTCCCGGGTGTGCCTTGCTCCTAGCTGGGATTTTCCACCTTTTAAATAAAGTCTGCGTGGAAGCGAGGTGTCAGGCGGAGAGATGCAGCCCCTTCCAGGACCGGATCCCCCGCTGGGGTGCCCTTGGCCCCCAGAGCGAGCCCAGGGCTGCCTGCTGCCTGCCTGCCAGGGCAGGGCAGGGATTTGGGAGCCCTGCCGCCCCACACACGTGTCCCCATCGTGGCGAGGCGGGGGAAGGCATCTGTGCTGGCCGGGACGCGGCGTGCGAGACCAAACGTAGCCTCCCCTGGTGCGCAGACGTGGCCGACGGGGAGGGTACGTGCCGCCCTATGCATACTGCTCGGCGTTCCCCGCGGGGGGGGCTGCGGGACGGCACTGGGGCCCGGCTCAGGCTGCCTGGCCATGCCGGAGGGTTGGTGGGGTGGACATGTCCCTGGTGTCTCTGAGCGGTGGGACAGCAGGAGCAGCCCCAGAGAGCCGGGACTGGGTAGGGAGAGGTGGGAGGTCTCGGTGCAGCGAGGCTGTCACTGTCCTTGTCACCCAGAGCCGGCAGGCAGTGCAGAGGCGCACGCTGGGAAATTAGTGCAGCTGGCTCAGCACCCCCAGGGACATGGCCCCGGGGGGCCACAGCGGGGGGGGGGTCTGTGCCCACGCATGTGGCAGTGCCCATGCTGTCAGGGTGGGCGAGCGGGCACTGGGGCTGGCGGTCAGGAGGGGGACGATGCCAGGTGGCACACGTGCCGCCCAATGTGGCAGCGAGGACGGCAGCATCCCATCCGTGTGGCAGCCCCGCGGTGGGCTGGGGCTCTCGGGGCTGGCAGGCCACGGGAAGAGATCCCCGGGGAGATGCTCTTTGCCCGGAACAGAAGGTCCCCAGCTGAGGTGGGCACACAGGGACAGGGGTGAACCCGCTGCCCCCAGCCCTGGGGGGGGGACCCACGCCACCCCCCCGGGGCCATCCGCCACTCCATGTATTTGCTGTTCTGCCCAGCCTTATCGCAAGGCAAACAGCGACAGGCAGGGCACGCTCTGCCCGATCGAAGCATCTCCCGTTCCCTCCCCTTTCATCTCCCCCCCCCTTCCCCGGCCACCGCTGCCGGGAGACCCTGGCCAAGGGGCAAAGGCCGGGGCTGGCCGGGGAGGTGGCAGCGAACTGTGCCGGGACAGTGCCAGGGCTGTGCCAGGGCTGTGCCAGGGCTGTGCCAGGGCTGTGCCAGGGCTGCCCGGTGGGAGGAAGCGTCTGGGTGGCGGTGCTAAGCCCGGTGCATGCGAAATGAGCCTGGCCGTGCCGCTTGCTATTCCGAGAGGCACTCGGGGGAAGAAGCTGGTATTTCCTGAGCCGCCCTGCGAGGTGTAATTATAACCTGGGAGAAGAAAGGGGCTGCAGAGGAGAGCGCCCAGCCTCCCCGGCGCCCGTGGGGGAGCGGGCAGGGGGAGCTGGGCAGCTTCTGCCTGCCACGGGTGGGAGGCAGCGGAGCCCTGCCTGCGGGCAGGCCGGCGGTGCTGGGGGGGTTCGGGGAGGTGATGGAGCACTGGGGATCTGGTGGCCCCTCTTGAGCCCAGCACCGGGAGCGGTGGGTTCGGCGATGCCCGCCTGCGGCGGCGGGAAGGCGCAGAGTTAACGGCGGCGTTTGGACGTGCTGGCAGCCTTGTTCGTGCCTGGATCCGGCCCAAGCAGAGGCCTAGCAGAGGGGATAAATCATCGCCCAGCGCCTGCCCTGCGCTTCCTTCTTTTCCCCCGCATGGCTGAGCCTCCCTGCTCTGGTCCCCGCTGGCCTGCGCCTCGCCTCAGTTTCCCCACCGGGCTGGGTGCCGCAGGCAGGGTGGCCCAGCCGTGTGTCCCCCCCCCCCGGGGCCAGCCTTAGGGGCTCGGCCCCCCCAGCAGTGCTGGCAGCCGGCACGTGGCCTGGGATGACCCTGCCTGGTCTCCTCGGTGGCCTGGATGGGCAGGGACAGGCAGGGCAGCGGCTCAGGAGCCTGGAGGTGCTGGCACCCACACCTCGCCATGTCATCCTTCCCCTGCGTGCCGGGGCGGGGGCTGCTGTCCCCAGTGTCTTCTTGCCCCCGTAGTGCCATGGGAAGACTTGCCTGGTCCCCAGGTCCACCGATCCCCTGGGAGCACAAAAATGGGCACCCGCCGGGACCCCAGGCACCGGGGTGATGGGGCAGCAGGATCCTCCTGGGGTTGGGGACTGCACCGCATCCCGGCCAGCCCTCGCCTCCGGCTGGGTGCCGTCGTCCCTCGGCCAGACATGGCCCCAATGTGGAGCCCCCCCAGCTGGCCGGACAGGACCCCAGCCCCCCAGGGTGGTGGGGGACCCTACCCCGGCTGACAGCCTGCCCCAGAAAGCCACCCTGTGCCGTTTCCCAGCGGGGCGGGGAGGGCTGGGGCTCGCACAGAGGCAGCTTTGTGCGGCGTGCCAAGGCATCCCGCGCTCGGCAGCCCGGCCGCCTTCCCCTGCCAAGGAGCTGTCTCCCGGCCCCGCACTCTTTCCTGCTCCGTTTGTCCGGCCCTGACGTGCCCCTGAGCCCCCTGCCTTGGCACCCCAGCAGCACCGTCCCCGGGGCGGCGGGACGCAGGCGAGCCCTTCGCACTGGGCAGTGCCGCGGGCTTTACGTAACAGTGGTGGCTGGGGGGTCCCCGAGCTCCCCACCCCGTCCCCAGCTGCCCTCCCAAACGCCCCCGCTCGCCTGTCGGCACCCGTCTCCAGGAGGGGAAACTGAGGCGTGGAGCTGAGAGCTGTGGGCAGGGGAGCGGAGGTGGGCAGGCGTCGCGGACAGAGGCTCCGGGGCTGGGCTGCGGGCAGGGGAGCAGGGCAGCCCCGCGGGGTGGGCTGTGGGATGGCTGGCAGGGCCAGGGGACAGTCCCACCTGAGGACCCTCGTGGGGCTGTTGGAGCTGGGGTGAGCTCCGTGGGGCGTCGTGTGCTGAGCGGGCAGAAGGGAGAAGTCCAGCCATGGTGATGCCCGGCCAGGCATCCCTGTCATCCCTGGGTGCCCGTCACTGCGGTGCCACCAGCACTGGTGCTGAACCCGACTCAAGCATCCCAGGTGGATGCGGGACTTGTGGGACCCCACGCCAGCACCTCCTGTGCTCCCGCCCAGAGCTGGACCCCTGTTGCCCCCCTCTTGCAGAGCCTGAGGAGAGCCTGCAGCAAGCCCAGCCACCTCCCCGCCATGGACGCCACGGACGTGCCCCTCCAGGCCGAGATGGTGGAGCTGGTGCCCAACGGGAAGCATGCGACCGCGCTCACCGCCTCCGCCGTCCCCTCGCTGGCAGGTGACAGGTAGGGGCCCTGGGACAAGTAGGGGTGCCAGGGGTTTGGCAGGTCCTCCCGGCTGCTCCCTGCCGTTACGATGCCAGCCAGTGCTGCCCAGGCACAGGGAGGGGCATGGCAGACTCCGGCTCTGCTTCACCCTCACCCCCCTCCCTCCGGCGGCCAGGTTTGAGGAGAACCAGTCTGGCACAGCGGAGATGGAGGAGTTCCTGCCCCATGGCGCCGAGAAGAAGCAGACGCACTTCACCGATGTGAGTATGGTCACGGGCACCGTGGTGGTGGTGGGATGGGGGTAGCTCACGGTGTGACTGGTGCGTCCCCTCCCCGTTGTGTCTCCTGCGTGCAGTTTGAAGGGAAGACGTCTTTTGGGATGTCCGTCTTCAACCTGAGCAATGCCATCATGGGCAGCGGCATCCTGGGGCTGGCCTATGCCATGGCCAACACCGGCATCATCCTCTTCCTGTGAGTGCTGCACACCTGTGTGGGTGTGGGTGGGGGGGTCCAGGTGTGGGGGGCTCCTCCAAGGGGATCAGTGGGTGGCAGGGATGCGGGCGAGAAAGGAGTCCAGGGCTTGGGGTGAGGCAGGGGCCGGTGTCCTTCTGCCTGAGCAATGCCCATCCCTGGCATGAGCCTGTCTGCCCCTGCTGGGTGCTGTGCCCCACTGGGGAGGAGGAGGATGAAGGCTTAACTTCCTTAATACGAGAGCAGATTTCCCCATGTGACCCAAAGAACTCGGGTGCTGGCTCCCCTTGGGTGTGGGGACATGGACCCACAGGGCTAGGGCAGCTCCATGGCTGTGGGGTCCCCACACCCTGCGGCCCATCCGCCGCGTGAACACCCAGCTGGTGCCAGCGCAAGGGGCCGGGTGGCCTGCCAGGATGGGGTTTGCCCCATGGCTGTGTCCAAGCCCGGTGCTGTGACCCACTGGTGACGGTGCTGTCCTCTCGCAGCTTCCTCCTGACGGCGGTGGCCCTGCTCTCCAGCTACTCCATCCACCTGCTGCTCAAGTCCTCGGGCATCGTGGGTGAGTGCCGGGTCCCCAACGGGGCTGTGCCGGGGGGTCCCCTCCCAGCCCTCACCCCGCCACTGCTCCCCGTCCCGCAGGCATCCGCGCCTACGAGCAGCTGGGCTACCGAGCCTTCGGCACGCCGGGGAAGCTGGCTGCGGCCATTGCCATCACGCTGCAGAACATCGGAGGTGAGGACGGGGCTGGGGGGGGACGCGGTGGGGCAGGGACAGGACAGGACCGGAGCACGCTGGCGCAGCATGACCTTGGTCTGCCCCGCAGCCATGTCCAGCTACCTGTACATCGTCAAATCCGAAGTGCCTCTCGTCATCCAGACCTTCCTCAACCTGGAGGAGAAGACCACGTGAGTGCCTCCTGCCCACGCTGCCTGCATGCCTTCCCCCGGGCAGGCGCCGGGGCTTCGTCTCCAGCTGTGCAGCCCATGGCAGGGATTTAGTGCCATTAAGCCACTACTATTTTTGATAACTGTCAGTGCTGAATAAGCCCCTGGGTGGGATTAAACCGGGCTGAACTTCCAATCCCTGCTCCTCACATCCCCTTGGGATCAGGCTTTCCTCCTTGAGCAGAGCCCGGGGCTGCGGGGTGGGGGACGGGGGGTCTGGTTGGGAATGGGTCCCCTCCACCCCATTCCTGCATCCCCACCCGGCAGCATGGGGGGTGAGAGCCAGGCAGATGCTGGGCAGAGCTGCCACTGGGACCTCCACCAGTCTGGGACTGGGCATCCAAGCCAGGGTCAACCCTGGCTGCTCCGGGCACTCGATTGCACATGAGACCAGGGCTGGGCAGGGGTCCAGCTCCACGGGCGGATGGGAGCAGCTCCCCCTGCCTGGGGTGTTGAGGACCTGGCTGAGCACCTTGCAGATGCTGGTACCCCAGGCTGCCCACAGGCAAACATGTGCTGAGAACAGCAGTTCTCAGCCTGCCCACAGCACCTCTAGCCCTTGGGGATGCACCGCTATGGGGGTTAGGTAGGACCCCAGCTCAAGGGTCCCCAGGGATGCTGGCCTCAGGGGTCCCCAGGGACACCATCTCAGGGGTCACTGGGGATGCCAGCACAGCAGGGATGCCAGCCTCAGGGGCTGCCAGTGTCCCTGGAGCTGCCAGCTCCGAGGTCCCCACGGATGGCAGACAGCCCCCCCACTGATGGCTGCCTGTGTGTCCCGTGCCCCGGCAGAGCGGGGCAGTGAGCAGGCCCTCTGCTTCCAGGGACTGGTACATGAACGGGAACTACCTGGTGATCCTGGTTTCCATCACCATTATCCTGCCCCTGGCCCTCATGAAGCAGCTGGGTAAGTCAGGGGGATGCCGCCTGTGGCACCAGGGTCTGGCACCCTGGGGCTCTGGCAGGGTGATGATGCCAGCCTGGGGGTGGTGGGCAAGGAGGCGACAACCAGCCAGCACGAGGGTCCTGCCCGCACCCACCAGTTGCTCTCATCCCTCCCTAGGCTACCTCGGCTACGCCAGTGGCTTCTCCCTCAGCTGTATGGGCTTCTTCCTCATCTCGGTGAGTACCTGCTGGCACATGCCAGCAGCTTGGGATGCCGAGCATCCCTTCTGCCAGCGTGCATGGCTCCGCCAGTGCTCGGCCAGGCTGCGTGCTATGGTGACAGTGGGGACAGCGGGGACAGTGGGCGCTCCGGGCTGTGGAGATGTCATGGCAGTGCTGTCACGCTGCTGGGTTATTTTTGGCTGAAGGAGCCGAGTGCTGGGGAGAGGGGAAGGGAGAGGGTGCTGGGGGGAGAACGGCGCGCACAGCCCTTCCACGTGCCGCTGCCCCGCTCTGCCCACTGCCCACCCTGGCAGGGGCAGGCCAGGGGGCCAGCATCGCTGCGGGGCACTGCCAGCAAAGGGTGCCCCATAGAGGGGTCCCTCCAGGGCCACCCTCCCTCTGGGTGCAGTGCTGGCTTGGGCGGCCGGTTCTGGGGGGTGGTGGCACTGGGCACTGACTGTCCCCATGTCCCCCGCACCCCAGGTCATCTACAAGAAGTTCCAGATCCCCTGCCCGCTCCCCGAGCAGGAGGGGAACTTCACGGGCAGCCTCAACGTCACCCCTGTCAGCACCAGTGACTACCAGAATGGCTACACCGTCCTCCAGGCGCCTGACCAGGGCACCTGCACCCCCAGCTTCTTCACCCTGAACTCCCAGGTAGGGACCTGGGATGCACCCCTGGGGCTCTGGGTGAGCCCCCACCCCGTGCACCCCATGAAGATGGGTGGTCCCAGCGCTGGTGGCACCCACCAGCTTGGCCCCCGGCGCTCAGCCACCCTTCTCTCGCGCAGACGGCATACACCATCCCCATCATGGCCTTCGCCTTCGTCTGCCACCCCGAGGTCCTGCCCATCTACACCGAGTTGAAGAAGTGAGTCCTGGGTGGGGGCACCCACGGGGAGGGGTGGGCTTCGTCCAGCACCCACCCAAAGGCAGTGCTATCCGGGTGTGGGACCTGCGCTGGGGCATCGTGGGGAGGTGGGTGATATGACCCTGGGATGGGTGGGTGGGTAGTGGGTGATATCATCCCCAGGAGATTGGTGATATAACCTGGGGTGGGTGGGGGGGTGCGTGACTGGTTGGTGGTGGGTGATCCAACCCACGACGCAGCCCAGGAAGGGGGACGCTGCCCCTCTCTGCATAGCCCGCATGCGCCCCAGGGTGCTTCGGCATCACCCCTCCTTGCTGGGTGGGTGCTGGGTGCCAGCAGGTGCCAAGGGGTGGGCTGGGCCGTGGGGGGCCGTGCTGAGCCCACCGTCTCCTGCAGCCCCTCTAAGAAGAAGATGCAGTGCATCTCCAACATCTCCATCATGGTCATGTACCTCATGTACTTCTTGGCCGCCCTCTTCGGCTACCTCACGTTCTACGGTGAGTCCTCGGGGAGGGGGCTGGGAGCCCTGCCGACATGCCGGCAACGGGGGGGTGGCGGTGTTGGGGCTCACCCAGCGGTTCCCCGCCGGTGCCTGCAGGCCGGGTGGAGTCGGAGCTGCTGCACACGTACAACAAAGTGGACCCCTTCGACGTGCTCATCCTGTGCGTGCGGGTGGCCGTGCTGACGGCTGTCACCCTCACCGTCCCCATCGTCCTCTTCCCGGTGAGTGGCCTCATGGGGCTTTGAGAGGGGAAACTGAGGCAGTGATGGGGCCGAAGCCCGGGGTCAGGGTGGCAGGGATCGGTGGGTCTGCAGGGATTGGGGAACGGGACAGGCTGGGTGTCAGGGACAGGGCTGAGGCAGGGGAGGGGGTGACAGGGACCAGCGGGACTGTGGGGACAGGGCTGGGACAGGGGAGGGGGTGACAGGGACCAGTGGGGCATCAGGGTCAGGGCTGGGGCAGGGGAAGGGGTGACAGGGACTGGCAGGGCCGTGGGGACTGGGCTGGGAAGGGATGCTGGGGACCATCCTGCCTGTGGGGACAGGGGATGGGATGGGCCCTGGCTTCAAGGATGGAGCATGACACCCCATCCCTGTGCCCAGGTGCGCCGGGCCATCCAGCAGATGCTGTTCCAAGGAAAGGACTTCAGCTGGATCCGCCACGTCACCATCGCCGTGGTCCTGCTGACCTTCATCAACCTCTTGGTCATCTTTGCCCCCTCCATCCTTGGCATCTTCGGCTTGATCGGTGCGTGGCAGCACCCCGCTCCTGTCCCTTTGCAGGCACCGGGTGTTGTGGGCAGCATGCCAGCCCCTGCCCCTGCCTGGCGCTGGGCTTTGCCTGACCCCCCCGTGCCTCAGTTTCCCCTTCTCACCGTGCGGGGACCAGGTGCCGTGTGGGGGTTCCTAGCCCTGTCCCTGTCCTGGCAAGCTGGTTCCCACAGGGGTTGCCGGCCAGTTGCCACGCTGCCGGCCAGCACTTGCTCTTCCCCTGGGTATTTCCCTTGATCCCCCAAGCCAGGCTCCCCCCCCGCTCAGCACCCGGCTCCGTGCCAAGGCCCTGGCTGCGGGGAGGGGCATGGGGACAGGGCCAGGACACGGCGTCCCTGGGTTCCTGGAAGGCTTTGCCAGGGCTGGCGGTGGCAGGCAGGGGGACAGGACCTGGCCCGGCAGCGGGGCTGGGAGGGCTGAGCCGTGGGGCGGGGGCCCCCTGCCCGCTCTGTCCCTGTCTGCTCCAGGTGCCACCTCCGCTCCCTGCCTCATCTTCATCTTCCCCGCCATCTTCTACATCCGCATCATGCCCAAGGACAAGGAGCCACTGCGCTCCACCCCCAAAATCTTGGTAAGCATGGGAGGGGGATGACAGGGACGGGGGTCCCGAGGCTGGGCTGGGGACCCTGTCGCCCTGGCTGTCCCTGACCTGCTTCCCTGTCCCCGCAGGCTGCCTGCTTCGCCCTCCTCGGGGTGCTCTTCATGGTCATGAGCTTGAGCTTCATCATCATCGACTGGGCCACAGGTGGGGGGAAGAGCGGCGGCAGCCACTAGCCAGCACCAGGTGCCCACGCCAACCTTCCCCCCACCCACCGGTGCCCCAGGGAGAGCCGGCCCCGGGGCTCAGCCCCCGTGCCGCGGCCCTGCCGGGCTTCCCTGGGGACCTTCCGCCGTCGCTGCCCATCACCCGCGGCGGTGGTGAGGGGGCATGAGCCACGGCAGGTGCGGGGACCCCCCCGACCTGTGCCCAGGATGGGGCAGCGAGCCCGGGGCAGGTGCTGTGCCCCCACCCCGCTCCAGCGGGTACCTTTCCTGCTCCGCGCCTCAGTTTCCCCATCTGTAAAATGGGGAGAATAATACTGCCCTACCTCACCGGGAGCTGGCTGTCAGGTGGAGCTCGTCTCTGCACACCCAGAGCCGCCGGCAGCGGGCACTGCCAGGGGCGCGGGGCACTGCCCGCCGTGGGGGCCGAGGACCAGGGCACTTTTCTGGCCCCCCCAGACAGCATCGAGAGCCCTGATGAACAGTGTCTACGGGGGGCTGGAGTCTAGCGGGGTAGTCGGACCTGTGGCAGTGCCCATGCCCAAGCCACCCACCCTCTTCTCCTGCCATCCCCCGGTCCCTGGTGAGATGCCACCCCAGTGCTGTGGCATCACGGGGGCACCCCAGCCCCTGCAGGCAAGTGTGGTCCTGCCACCACGGCTGGCCATACCCAGCCCGCTACTCTTGAGCCTGCCGGGGGAACGGTTGGCTCTCGGTGCCCACGGATGGGACCCCGGTGACCCCCAGGTCATGCTTGGGGACTGGCCGCATCGCTTTGGGGAGGTGGCATGCCCACCGGGGGCTTGGTGCCCGCCGGCATCCTGCCCGTGCTGTGGCTTGGCTGCCCCGGGGCCTGGCACCCCTGAGGGGTGCAGGTAGGGGGCTGGGGGCAGTGCTCACTGGGGGCCAGCTCGGGGCTCTGGAGCCACCCCCCTGTCTGCATGCCCAGATGCCAGGGTGATGGGCACCCCCACAACCCAACCTGGCCCTGCTTGCCTTGCACCCAGGGCCAGCATCCAGGCCCCCGCAGCCCTCTCCCAGTCCCCCACCCACCCACCCATCCATCCATCCATCCATCCATCCATGCTGCTGGGATGCCCCACACCATGCCAAAACCCAGAGAGCAGCTCTCCCACCCCCCCACCTCCCTTCCCAGCATGGGGGAGCAACCCGGCAGGGTGGGCAGCACGTCTGGGGGGGGGCTGTCCTGCGGCAAAGTACATAAGAGACGTATTTTTTTACCGGGGTGGTGGAGGCTGGGATGCTTTTTATAAATACTGTATATAAGAGTAGATCTTTTTTAATGTGTTGTGTTGCTCTGGGTAGCTCTGTATAATGTACATATCTATATGGGGGGGGGGGCCGCGACCCAGCACCAGTGAGGGGCACTGCTGCGGACCCTCGCCGTCGCACCGGGGCTGTCGGCTGCAGCGCGTCCCTGGCGTCCCTGTCCCCAGCCCGGCTGCCCCGTGGCCACCCCTGCGCCATTCCGGGGGGCGACGCTTTTAAATTATCCGTGGGGGCGATGCCTGTGCTGGCGAGGAGGCCGGCCGGCGAAGCCCCTGGCAGTGAGAATAAAGATGTGAACGTGCCCACGTCTCGGGCGTCACTGGGGTGGGCGAGGGGCTGGCGCGTGGGCTGGCACCTGGCACGCAGCGTCCCAGGACAGCACGGACACGCATGCACATGGATGCACGGACGTACATGCGGACAGCAGGGATATGTGGACGTGCACGCACAGGGTCAGTGCGCATGGTTGCACGGGCATACAGCAGGGCGGCACAGACGTATGGACACACGCACACAGGGTCAGTGTGTCTGAATGCACAGGTGTGCAGTGGGACAGCACGGACATATGGACGGGCGTGCACAGGGTCTGCACATGCATGCACAGGCATACAGCAGGACAGCGTGGACATATGGACACACATGCACAGTGTCAGTGCAGATGGATGCACAGCAGAACAGCATGGACAGACATACAGACACATGCACATGGATGCATAGGTGTACATGGGGACAGCATGGGCATACAGGCGTGCATAGGGTCAGTGTGCTCGTGCACAGACGTACATGGGGACAGCAGGGACATACGGACATGTGCAGAGGGTCAGTGTGCTCGTGCACAGATGTACATGGGGACAGCAGGGACACACGGACAC